CCCCCGCCACCCGAGGAGCTCCCAGCAGCCCACAGTCAAGGTGCTGGGCGGGGAGAGCCTTGGCCGGGCCCTGCCTCTCCCTCCGGGGACCAGCTGTCCACCTGCAGCCTGGAGATGAACTACAGCAGCAACTCCTCCCTGGAGCACAGGGGGCCCAACAGCTCTACCTCAGAAGTGGGGCTCGAGGCTTCTGGGGCCGCCCCAGACCTCAGGAGGACCTGGAAGGGGAGCCGCGAGGGGCCGTCGTGTGCCTGCTGCTGCGAGCCCCAGCCCTCCGCACTGGAGCCCAGCGGGGGAGTGGCTGGGGGCAGCACCTTATTCCTGGGCGCCCCCCTCTGTGAGGGCTGTGGCCCCACAGGTGTGGAGTCCCAGCCGGGAGGTTCCCAGGGCCTGTGTGGCCTTCACCCAGACCATTTGCCCAGGACAGATGGGGTGAAATATGAGGGCCTGCCCTGCTGCTTCTATGAAGAGAAGCAGGTGGCCCACGGCGGCGGAGGGGGCAGCGGCTGCTACACTGAGGACTGCTCGGTGAGCGTGCAGTACACGCTTGCCCAAGAGCCCCCGCCCAGCTGCCACCCGGGGGCCCGGGACTTGAGCCAGCGCATCCCCATCATTCCAGAGGATGTGGACTGTGACTTGGGCCTGCCCTCGGACTGCCAAGGGACCCGTGGCCTCAGCCCCTGGGGTGGGACGCTGGGCCCCAACACCCTGCAGCCCCACAGGAGCCTGGGAGCAGCCCAGGAAGAAGAGCGGGTTCTGTGCTACCAGCCCCGGGCACCGCTGCCACCTGTCCGCCCTCCGGAGGAGGCAGGGGCCACCCGGGCCAGCTTCCCCAGTGCTTCCCAGGACACTCAGGAGTCCAGCGCCACGGCCGCTGAGGCTGCAGGTGAGAGCAGGTGACAGCGGGCCGGAGCCGGGGTCCTCTTCTCTCTCCGCGGTCATGTTCTAAGGGCTCTCTTTGTGTCGTTGACTTGAAACACCATCTGTACCTGGCAACTTCCAGTGTTACTCCCCAACTCAGCCCTTCCCTGGGTGCCAGACCCATTGGGCCCTTTGCTTCCATAATTTCTCCCCCTGGATGCCACGCAAGCACCCCCACCTGTCAGGTCCACAGCAGCCTCTCAAATTTCTCCTGCACCCCCTCCTCCAACGTTCCCCACCCAAAACCCCAGCACCATCTAACCCTGGGCCCACCCTGCCCCTCACACTTGTGTCCTGGGCTTCTCAACCTGTGAGAATTGTCCAGAAAATTGAATTCCCAGAAAAATGAAACTTAGCAAAAGACATGTCAAATCCAAGTCCAGAATTCTTATTAGATTCAGCTGACATCATCAGATTGCTATAAAGTTCCCAAACATTCTGTCTCGGTAAGAAACAGTGCGATCCAGCACCTTTGTGTGGTCTCCTGTCATGGGTCTTGCCTTCTCTTCCACCTGGGAGCTGAAGTGGTCTTTGTTTGTTTGTTTTTTCTTCTTTGTTTTTTATAAATTTATTTTATTTTATTTTTAAATATATTTTTATTGATTTTTTTTTACAGAGAGGAAGGGAGAGGGATAGAGAGTTAGAAACATCGATCAGCTGCCTCCTGCACACCCCCTACTGGGGATGTGCCCGCAACCAAGATACTTGCCATGCCCTTGACCAGAATCGAACCTGGGACCCTTCAGTCAGCAGGCCAACGCTCTATCCACTGAGCCAAACCAGTTAGGGCTATAAATTTATTTTTATTTTTTGAGAGAGAGAGAGAGAAACATCAATCTGTTGTTCCACTTCCTTATGCATTCATTGGTTGCTTCTGTGTGTGCCCTGACCGGAGATCAAGCCTGCAACCTTGGTGTATTGGGATTGTACTCGAACCAACTGAGCAACCCAGCCAGGGGCAAAGTGTTCTTTTTTGAACATAAGTCTATGTATTTGCACTAGAAAACCTTTAATGACTTGCATGCCCTTTGGAATTTTGAAAAGGTAGCCCCCCTGTGGCCGCTATCCTGTTCCTCCAACATTCCTCCAGCTCATTCTAGCCTCCAGACCGCTCTGCTGCTGCTCCCCCAGATCTCAGTTTAAATGACTCCCTCCAGCTACCTCTGAGGTTACCTCACACCCTGTGTCCTTTCCAGGTGATCACAACCCAAAATCACTTTGTTTTGAGGCCTGTAAGCTTATGAGAGGGTGAGGGGGTGTCTTCTCCCCTCCCTGCTCTCCCCAGTGCCTGCAACAGTGTCTGGTGCACATCTTCTGAACATTGTGTTTTCATGCTACCTAAGGGCTTCCAGAAGGTTCTGTAGGTCCAGATGAGGGAGGCTGGCTCTCTAGGAGACACCTGTGCTCGGCACAGCATGAGGAGCTCTGCTTAAGCCTTTTGCCGTATGCACAGTCCGTCCAGTGCTGTGAGCTGTCACTTCTGAGAGCCGGCCCCGTGCTGGGGATGGGCAGCCAAGTCCCTTGTCCCTGTGCATTGTGCCCGAGGCCTGCAGCGCCGGCTCCTCCCTGACGGCTCTTCTCTCTCTCCCAGGACAGAGGTCTCGCCCAGCAGACAGCGGCGGCACGGGAGCCTGAGCCCGGAAGGAACTCTGTGGAAATGGGAACTGTACGGAGACTCCAAACTCTGACTTCTTCAGAAAAAAAAAATAATTTTTTTTTTTTTTTAGCTCTGACAAACACACAAAAGTGGTAATAAAGAGAGCCCTCCTTCTCAACCCAAAATGTGAGCCCCTTTAAAGTGTGTGTGCTTGGGGTTCCGAGGTGTGTGGGATTGAGTTCTCGGCTTTGTTTTTTAAGATATTTTATGTAAATGTAAAAAGTTATTTAAATATATATATTTTAAAGAACTCTAACCGCCAACTTTTGCTGAAAGAAAAAAAAAAAAAGTCACTGCTGCGTTAATTGAACCACATCATGTGTAGATACTGTTGTCTCCTTGGAGGGAGCTCAGGCCTTTGAAAAGCTCAGGGCTACACCTGCCTTAGAAAATGAACCAGAAACTTGAAGTAAAGCTCGTCGATATGGGTACAAACTCTGAGGAACGATGCAATGCTGCCTCTTTTCTCGTGGCAAATCCCAGTGTACAAATCATCAGGTCTCCGAAGCCATATTCCTCCAGCCCACCTTAGGCAGCTGCTGGAAACCGCTGGGCAGGGGGTAGGAGGTCGGCAGTACCAGGGAGTGGGGCCAGGCCGTTGCCGCAGAAGCCCCGGGTGCGACAGGGACGATTCTGCCCAGTGCCCTCAGTCTGTCCCCTGGAATCATCCCGAGGGAAAGGGCCAAGTTCACAGTCATGATCTCGGGCTCCCTGCTACCCACCGGCTGCAGAAAGGGATCGAGGGGGTGTGCGGGGACCAGCACCCAGGAGGAATGTAGTTTGCGGCTTTGGTGTCTGAAGGGGCTGGGGACCGAGAATGCGATGGAGCTGCTGTGTCCTAGGGCTGCCTTCCTGGGGGGCCGCGTGGCCAGGACCCCATCGGGGCTACACTAAGCTCTGAATGATACGGTTCCCATCCATCTCCCTACGGAAGCGCCGCTTCAGGGTTATTCAGCCCTCTGCCCGTGGCTGAAGTTGCTCACCTCGCCTGCAAATGTCTACTATCCTTTCTACCTAATGCACTATTACGTATTGGTTCTCCATGAGACAGAGAGAGAAAGAGACTATCAGATAGTTTAGACCCAAAGGGTAGGTTTTTGTATATTTTTCCAGCCTTTCGTTGTTGTTTTTTAAAAGAGGGAGGGAGAGCTTAAAAACCCAACCCATTTTTAAAAAGATGTTTCCATTATAAAGGGGAGAATCTATTTAAAGCTATTTCAGATCAGGGATTGACTGTCATCCTTTTTGTCCAATGTATTTCTTGTCCTTAAAAAAAACAAAGCAAAACTATTTTTAGGAGAAACTAATCACATTAGCCCCGCGTTCACTAACTCTTTGGTCACTTGTTTACTCACTTACTCGGCAGATAGTTGGTGCCACCTGAAAAGCTCCTTTGTGAAATAGATACCCTGGGAGCTGGCCCCTGTAGGTGGGGAACTAGAGGCCATCCTGGTTGCCAGGAGACTGTGATGACTCCTCTCCAGTTAGGCTCTGGGGTCCAGACCAGAACATTTTGAATGAGAATCTCACTGTATCAGAATCCCTTTTTCTTAAAATCCTCAGCCTGTGATGAGGAAACGTACTTAACTCCAAGCCAGGATTTGACAAGCCAGGAAATGCCAGCGTCAAATGATGGAGCCATTTGCCATTTAGGAACTCACCCATTTGCCATTTGGTGAGATTTGTCCTCCAGCCTCGAAGGTGCAGTCCCTTGCGGGGGTTGCTCCCCGCGGGCCTGTGCCCAGCACACCTGTTGGCGAGGGTGTGAGAAGCGCCAGAGCTGTTGACATGTGATCTGGGCCGCCTTTATTTCTCGGGCCAGGACCAGCAGCTGCTGAGGACAACAGCTTGCATTACGTGGTTTTGGGGCGAGGGGGGGTGGGGTGAGGGGATGGCTTTTAACATGAACTGCAAAAAGCAGCTCCTCATGGTTGAGATTTTTGTTGTTGTTGTTTGTGGTTTTGTTTTTAAATGCCTTTGAGTGCGTATTATCTTCCTTGTCTGAAATCATACCCCCAGAGTGGCTAAAGCCCCAGCTGGAAAAAAAAAACAAAACAACCACTCCTCAGAGCCTTAAGCAATGAATAGATGAGTAAAAAATGTGGCTTCCACGGGGCTTATTCAAATAAATGTGTCCAATTCTTCACTTGAAAGAACAGTAACTACAGATGGCGAAAGAAGCACATTTCATGTTGGTAGTTTGCAGGGTGGTAGAGACAGAAAAATGAAATTTTGAAACTTTTCAGTATCAGCCACTGTCTTAAATTTGTGTTGGCCTATCCAACGGGCAGGGCACCAGAATCAAGGAACCAACGAGAGTATTGCCTCACCATTGAAATCAAAACATCTTCTGTGAAGTTGTAAGACTCCGCTACTGATAAAGTACCGTTTTCAGTGATCCCTCCGTGGTGTGTGGGGCTGACGGAGCTGTGGAAACTGGGGGGCATCACATTTTCCATTGAGCACATCTGCCCCCACCCCCCACCCCTGCCAGGGTGTGACCTTTGGGTTTGGTTCCATGGCCCAACCCTTGTGTGACAGCGGATGTAAACTGAAGAGGCCTAGAACCAGTTCACATGGGGGTGGGGAGGGGGGAGGGTTGGGAGTTCTGATCAGCAAGGTACCTCTTTGCAGACACAGCCCCAGTACGCAGGTTCAACTCAGCCTCTTCCCCTCGCCTTTGAACCCAAGCCATTTGTTAAAGCCCCACCTGCTGTCCCACTGCTCAGACCCTCCCTTTTGTGCTGCTAGTTTCTACTCAAAAGTTCCTGCAGGACTAATGCTTTTAAAATGAGGTCTAAAAGATAATGACTAATCAAGAGTACTATTTTTTAAACAGAACTGCCTTTTTCTATTCTTTATATAAACTCTATTGTGTTGGGTCTAACAAGGCACTATTTTAAAATGTGTGTTGTTGTTTTTTTTAAATTTTCTCCCATAGCACTTAAAAGATATTTTGTAAAGACTTTGCTGTAAAGATTTTGTAATAAAACGGTCTAAGGGCTCCTTCTCCAACATTACCATTTTTTAAAAATGTTTTAAAAGGCTAGAAAACAACTTATGTATATTCTGTATATGTATAGCAGCACATTTCATTTATGGAAATATGTTCTCAGAATATTTATTTACTAATATATTTATCTTAAGCCATGTCTTATGTTGAGAGTGTGACATTGTTGGAATAATCATTGAAAATGACTAACATGAGGCCCTGTAAATACATGATAATTGCACACAGATTTTACATATTTGCCGACCAAAAATGATTTAAAACAAGTTGTAGTCTTCTATGGTTTTGTAACAAATTGTACAAATGACTGTAAAAAAAAAATACAATTTTATCAAGTACATGTTCTATGTTGTCATCGCTCTGTTGGGTAAAGGTCTACACATTCCACAAAGGAGAGGTTTGCATGAAGCAGTGCCTTTTTTGATGGTTTTTGTTTTTGTTTTTTTTTGTTAATCCTCACCCGAGGATATTTTTAGGGAGAGTGGAAGAGAGAGGGAAAGACAGAGAAACATGGATGTGACTCACATCGATTGGTTGCTTCCTAAAGGAGGCCCAACCAGGGCCCGGGCCAGGGAAGAGTCTGCAACCAAGGTACGTGCCCTTGACCAGAATCGAACCCAGGACCCTTTGGCCCACAGGCCAATGCTCTATCCACTGGGCCAAACCGGCTAGGGCTGAAGCAGTGCCTTTAACTTCAGCTTGCTCGTGGGAGCACCCATATCATTTCCTCTTTGGTTAACATAGCGTTCAGGTTATTGGGGATTTCGGTGGCATCATGGGGTTATGTCCTTGAGGTGATGGTAGTTTTTCTGCTCTTCCCTGTGGAGGGTGAGAGGGAGGGACATGATGGTCAATCCTAGCAGTCCTCTTTTTAAAAGTTGGGAACATAGGCTGGATATACCAGTAGACCATCGGCTTTCTCTGCCAGGATCTTTCCTACCTGGAAGACAGAGACCCTCAAACCCCAAGGGAAAGGGGCTTGGAGGGAAAAAAGCCCCAAGCACCTAGCCCTCAAAATTACCTGCTCATGAGAGTGGAGGGGAAATGAATCTTGTACCCATTTGTCACGTTTCCGGGGAGGGTGGTTACTAACTTGGGGCGCACTCGGAGATGACCGGAAAGGTGCAAAGTGGTGTTTATTGTTTAGACATCTAGCAGAGAATAGCCTCATCTGTGCGATCCTGTTTCTATTTCTCCCTCTTTAACCTGGGCCACTTCTTGGGCACAGGCTCCTTGTCGACCTCCAGCCACATCCTGACGGGCAACGAGTCCCTCTGAGCACCTTCAGGGGTGGCAGCCTGGCTGCACAGAGCCTCCCAGAGCTTCTGTTTGATGGCCTTGCCCAGCTCCAAGCTGTACCTCTTGGGGGTCCCCGAAGGGTTCCACAGCATCGGCTCGACCACAGCATGGTACAGAGCCCGGTAACCCTCTGTGGGCAGGCCGTGGATGGTTAGCATGTCTGACAACTGTTGTCTCTTCCTGGCTTCAGGAAGCAACGCCTGGCCCTTCCAGGCTGCTGTCCCCGCGTCCCTGCGTAGCGCTTGGGTGGCGGCCACATGTTCGGCATATCTGCTCTCAAGATCTTGGCTGACTGTTACTTTTTCCTCCTTTGAACTTTCTTTACTCTGGCCAGGAAGAAAGCAGAGAAGTCAAAGCTAAAACTTGAGAAGGGAGCTCAGAATAATTATCTGGGATTTGTGTCCCAGAGTCTTGGTTACAGCCACAACCAACATTCGTCTAGTAGTGTGTGCGAGCTTACTGAATTCCTCCGTGTATACCACTGCGTGCGTCCCCCCCGGAACCCTGTAAGGTCGGCAAGAGACAGCTTTAAAGGCAAGGGAGCGGGAATTGGTTTGCCCAAGGCCACACAGCTAGAAAGTTAATAACCACAGTTGTTGTCTACTGAATGCCACAACAGGATCCTAGGCATTTAGCCTGTGCCAGGCTCTGTTCAAAAGCCCTTTGCACGTATTTACTCATTTAATCCTCACGAAACCCTATGAGGAAAGAGCTATTACCCCTCATTTTGTAGACGACAAAAACCAAGGCAGAAAGAGGCCAAGCCCACTGTTGTCCTGAATTATAGTCAAAGCTGGGATTTGAACCCGACAGCCTAGCTCCAGGGCGCGTGCTGAGCTGCGCTGGCCACCAGGAGAGATGGAGGTGGATTCAGGTCAGGCCTCTAGATGCCGAGTCCTCCATGGATGTTCATAGCCGGGCCTTGGTCACCTCTGCATGACCAGCGTGTGTTCTCTACACGTATCCCGGCCTTTCCCGTTCTTTTTGTCCCTTCATGTCCAGCACCTTTCATCTGTGTTTATAAGAGCTACTTCGCGCTCCTATAGATAGTCAATCCTAGCAGGCAGGGTGTAAATATCATGCCCCCAGAGCTGGTGCTCTCTCCATTATACCTCACTGCTGCTGCCCACCCACCCTCTACCCTCACCCCCTCAATCCTGTCTTCAACTTTAGGATCTCCTTTGCTTCATAAAAACCTTTTTTTAAAAAAATACTTTTTTAATTGATTTCAGAGAGGAAGGGAGGGAGAGAGAGAGAGAGAAACATCAATGATGAGAGAGAATCATCGATCGGCTGCCTCCTGCACGCCCCTGACTGGAGATGGAGCTCGAAACCCGGCATGTGTCTGACACAAATCGAACTGTGACCTCCTGGTTCATAGGTCGACGATCAACCCCTGAGCCACACCGGCCCGGCTCATATAAACCTCTTAAGTGTTCAGTGTCTTCTAGCTGACATCTCCCTGTCCCCACCCCATCACATTTTGTCCACCGCCAGCCATCATCTACCTCGTTGTTGCTTCCTGCAGGCCTCCTGCGCCTCGGCGAGCCCGGCTGCTGTCCGAGGGGCTGCTTGCTCTGGGAGCTGATGGAGTTCCTCATCCTGCCCCGCCGAGTGGATTTCGTTGCTGAATCGTCCTTGGGCTCTACTAGCTTCGACGGTTTTGCTTCCCCAAACTTGCATGGTACCGGGCAGCACTGATCCTTCAGTCGTCGCCTGAGCACCAGCTTAACCAGGGAGAGCGAACTGGTAATGAACGGATTCTTGACAACTTCCCAGGAAGAGGTGGTACCTGGTGCTGGGGCACTGATGGTCCGCTTTGCACATGTCCTGGGCGTCCAGATGTTGGTGAGAGCTGGGGAGTCCACATAGCAGTCCTGAAGCCTGCTGTTCAGTAAGATAGACTGCCGGAGTCCGTAGGTGGGGATGCTGGGGTCTCGCCTCACGTAGATTGGATGCTAGAATTATAAGGAGGGGGAGAGGGAACAAAAAAGACCAGTCCTCAAGCAGAGACCAGAAGGTCTACTTTGGAGGCAAAGTATTCACATCTGTTTCTTCCACACCTGTCTTAGAAATCGTTCTACACATCCTCTCTCCTTCTCCCCAAAGCCTTTTGTCCCAGGGTCACGGGGACAGTCCGCCTCTCAAAGAACATCGCATGCTTGGGCCGGAAGTGGAAGGGCAGGGAGCTTTACAAGGAACCAAAGACAGTTCCCATCTCCTGGAAAGCTAAGGGGAGCCGTGGTAGGAAAAGGATGGGCGATAGGATCACTTCCGATTCCTGTAGGACCTGTAGTGACTCCTCAGCCAGGTCAAGTCCTGCCAAACCCTGAACACTTTCTAACCAGGAGGCCAGGAGCCAAGAAAAGCTGCGAACCAGGGACACACACTCTGGGGTCCATAAAGGCAAAGGCACAATGTAAATGATGCCTCTATTTCCTGGGACCAGCCCAGAACAAGAGAATAATCTGGATAGATCAGAATCCCTCATGGAGAGAAACCTGGCTTTCTAAGAAAGGTCATCTATAAGAACATTAAATCACCTTACCATATTTCGGTTGCCTTAAATTTTATTTTAGCAAGGGGAAAGAAATATGTATTTTCTTTTCCTTTTCTCTCTCTCTCTCTCTCTTTGTTTTTGTTTTGTTGGGATCTATCGAATCACCTATCTTTCTCTGCCTCAGTCACGTATGGGCAAATTGCAGTTTGCTTAGGGTTTGGCTTACATGCAGGCAGGTTTGAGCCATTATCTCTAGTATTTGTGATGTCACTTTGTTTTGTGATGTGGGTGTGGGTGGGTGTTACATCATCAAATTTTATAGTGAAATTAAGTTGGAAGGAGTTCTATTTTATTGTCTCCCCAGCCCCAGGAACTTCTGAAGTCCTCATTTCCCCCCCAAATGGCTCGGGTGAATTCGGAAGGTCCTCGCATTCTGAAGGAGTGGACGCTTTGCACGCCACGCAGTCAGAAATGCAGAGCGGATTGTAGGTCCAGGGAGGGAGGTGCATTCTTCCACGTGCAGAAGTGCCCTCCTTCTGCACATAAAGAAGGTACTGTTGAATCCTCCGCGTGGCTGCCAAGGTTAGGGACCAGAAACGAAAGAACACGTTCCTGCAGCCCTGGGCACCTCTCTCTCTCGGTGTCTCTCCCCGGGAGACTACACGGGTTTCTGGAATGTGGTTTTATTTTACATCCCATGGCAAATGCCGTAATTAGAGCTGTTAGCAGTGTCAAGGGCTTGAAACGAGAACAAAGACGCCTCTTCCTGGGAACTCTTGGGCAATGCCTCGCTCCTTATCAGGTGCTCGTCCTGATGGTGGTTTTGATTTTTTTTTTTTCATACACAAAATGCCCAAGGAGGCTCCCTCCCCCGGGGGCAGGAGAGCGGAATGATGGAAAAACAGAGTGTGAGTCTGGCAGGCGTTCCTGGAATCGCATGTGTTGCCCGTTTGATTTTTTTTCTTTCTTTTTTTTTTTTCGAGTGTTGTCCCTGGAGTGAATCAAAGTCTGCAGGCAGACCGCACCGCAGGCCGTGGTAGAACCACCTCCAGGTGGACCCACAGACGCGGGAGGACAATGGGGCCCATTCAGCCGCGAGCCCTGGCCTCACCTCCGGAGAGGTGGGTCAGTTTTAGAGCAGGGCGTTGGAAAGGGTTTGTCTTCGGGAAGGGTTTGCGTATGTCTGGAGACGGGGCAGGCAAGCATCCGAATCCCAGAGAGGCGGCACCAGGCTCTTGGGCTACTGTCTGCCTTTGCTCTGCAAGGTGGAGGGGACAGAAGGGGAAAGTCGGGCCAGAAAGGCATCCTGGGGGTAGCTCTTCTGTTTCTCTTCTTCCCATTCATCTGTTGTACTTACTTTCCTAGGTCTTGCCCTCAGTGACCAAGTGGCATTGCTCTGGCTCCGAGGGGCGCTCTATATCTCCTGCTTCTGGCCACATGGACGGCGGCTGAGACTCTTCAAATTCCAGAAAATTCTGCCTTCTCTCCCTTCAATAGACTGTACCCCAACAAGAAACCCTGACGTTCCTTGGAACTAACCCAGCGTCATTTGGCCTGTGCTGTTTCTCCTACGTCAGTAAAATCTGTATTTATTGAAGGCCTACTGTAGGCCAAGCACTGTTTTAGACACTTTACAAGCGTCATCCCCTGAAATGACACCAACGGTCTTATGAATTTGGACACTGTTGCCATCCCTACTTGACAGTTGAAGAAACGTAGGCACACACTGCTCAGGAACCATGCCCCACAGCTGGTAACCAACAACAACAGCTGGACGCAACCAAGCTGTACACCACTCCACCCTTGCTCTTCCCCAGCTATTACTGGTCGGCCCGTCCACGTACCACACCTGCGCCCAGTTCTAGTCCTACCTGGCCTTGTCAGGAGACTTCCTCTGGGCTCAGGAGTTGGTCTGTCGGAGTTGACATCCCAGATCCATCTCTCTTTGGGCAAGTGAATTCACATCTCTGAACCTTATTTGCCTCATCTGTGAAATGGGGTAGCAAATCGTGCCTCCTCCAGGACCACTGGGAGGATGAAATGGGACTATGCATGTGAAGCCCTTGGTATGGCTCTTGGTGCATAACAAGCGCTCAACAAGTCATGTTCTTATTAACAGTATTAATACTGTGGCCCATTCCCCCGTCTGACTCTTTCTTGAGCCCCTGCTGCCCAGGGTCTGAGTGACATAACCCAGTATTTGATATGGACTTCATCTCAGGTCCTTCCTGTGCATCCATCTGGTCTATGAGGACAAGCAATGGGCCTCTTGAAGTGGAAGGATTCTGATCTGGCTTGCGTCTCCCCACATTTCTCTTCCTATGATCCATCTTCACTAAGCATTGGTCAGACTCATCGACCTCACAGAAGTGGGATAGTTGCAGGAGGTACATGTCTCCCTGGTGGTGGGAGTGATTCATGCTTCATTCGACGGAAAGGGAAGTGGGTACCCGAGGATACGCGAAGGAAAGTGACTAGTCTGTGATAGCGATTGTTCCATCCAAGGTTGTTCAGAATTACAAAGTCAAGATGGAAAGACTCTTTGGTTCGGGGTCCTGACACCATGGCCAGAGTTTCCACTGTTGGTGCCAACCCTTGATTCTCGAACCTGGGGTTGAGGCACTAGGGCTTCCATATTGCTCAGCGGCCTGTTCCTCAGTTTGACTCACCACTGAACCTTTTTTATTCTGCTGAGCTCAGTCTAAATAACTTTTATTTTCCACCCATCATTTGGAGCTGTGCTTCCTGACATCTCTAAACCACCGCTTCTATTTGGAAACACATCTGCCCTTCTTTGATGCGTAGCCAAGCTCTCCTCACTGTATTTTTAGCTCCTATAATGTTTCGTCTTTCTTTTTTTCCTTTCCGACAACCTTTCTCCTCTTTAATTTCTCTTAGCTCCTCTTCTTTTGCTGGAGGATCCATGAATAAAGAAGAAATGGAGCCAGTTTAGATGAATTCTTGTCTTTCCCCTTCTTGCCCAACTCCCAAATTCTAGTGGAATTGAGTTGTTTTTAATCTTCTCAGAAGATGTTTTGATTTTAACACCCAAGCAGTAAACTTCCACACCCATATGGGAACATATCTGAGGTTTGTGATGTAGAAGGTTTGGGGAAAAAGAGAAAAACTTTGGATGAGAGAATTTGCAAAGATTCCTGAACCATGATGCAAACTCCGAGGACCAGTGATTTAGACCACATGTGCTGAGTACGCACCCATCATGGGCCAAGCATACGAAATCAGGGCACCCTGCCCGCCCTGCTACCCCTTCTCACCTGGCTCACGGTCACCTGGATGTCCCACAGACACCTCTAACTCATTATGTTCAAACCAAATTCTCTCTCCCTTCACATCCATCAGAACAGCAAACTACTACTTCTCTTGAATTTTCCATCACTAGTTGCCTGGCCCAGAGACCTGGGAGACAGGATCAGTAACAGTTCTGTACTGAGCTGAGCCTGGGCCTAAAGGAAAATCAGAAATCTATATCCTGCTTTTACTTAAAAATTTAATATTTTGTTCATCTTGAATTTTGGGTCATTCATTTAGATTTTTAAATATATTAAATTAAAACTGTTTATTAAGTAGATTCAATATATTTTAAAACCCGTTATAGGATATTTATTTCTTTATCTTGATTATTGAATTTTTGGGGCTTTCTGAAATTTTGTGCCTCAGCTGAACGCCTCACTCACCTCTCACCCTCATCTTGGCCATGGACCACTCAGTAAACACATGTCGCCAGGACCCTATAAGGACAAGCCAATTCACCATGGCGACTAGGAGCATAGTCCTGTAGTCCTTACTGCCTGGGTTCGAAGCCCAGCTCCACTGCTGTATGACCTGTGGATGAACCATTTAACGTCCCTGTCTGAAGGGAATGGTAAGGGTGCCTCCTCCATAGGGGCTATTGGGAGGATTGTGTGAAATGCAATGCCAAACACTGCACCCTACCTAGTCGAGTCCTCAGTAAATGTTTGCTATGGTTGTTATTATTATAATCAGGCTCCCCATCCAGTGCTCGCTTTGCAACATGACTGCCCTGTGAGCAGAAGTCACCCCAAGTGGAGTTTCAAAGATACTAGGATCATCCAAATGCGACCAGCTGAGATATCTGTTTCTTTTGTTTGTTGGTTTTTAACCCTCACTCAACGATATGTTTATTGTTTTTTGAGAGAGAAAGAGAGAGAGATTGATGTGAGAGAGAAACATCAATTGGTTGCCTCTCATGCATGCCCAGACTGGGGATCGAACCCACAACCTAGGTATGTGCCCTGACCGGGAATCGAACCCGCAACCTTTTGATGTATGGGATGATGCTCCAACCAACCGAGCCACCCGACCAGAGCTCTCCCAGCTTCTTGGCAAATCCAGCCGCCCACAGAGGAATCCAAGGGTCCAACTGCAGAACACAGGAGGCAAACAGACCACCAACACCACCTTCCTGAAGGCCCAGGGGCTACAGCCCGTGTCCTCACTCTCTCCATGAAATAAAGCTGCTCACCGACCAAGGCATGTGAAGCACTGAAATGAATCTCTGAGACTGCTCCTTGGCTCCTTGCCGGACCGCATAGCTGAGCAAAAGACCTTGAGCCATTAAGTGCCCTGACCTAGACTGGCTCGGCTGTATTTTTGTATTTTTAGCGCTGTTTCCATCACCTGTGCTGGGCTTTACGCTGGAAAAGAGAGGAGGGAGGCCTGGAGAAGGCATGAGGGATGTTTCTCATAGCAGCCAGTGGGGGCAGGGGCTTGCACACTATTTCTGAATTCTGTTGCACAAGCCAGATCCACGGGCATGCAACCTGGGTAGGGACATAGGTCCCCGAACTTAGAAGGGCCCCACACTTGGTATAATGCCCTGTGGTTGCCATCTTAAAATTCCTGGTCACTCTGAACAAGGGGACCCCCCCACACACATTTTCATTTCTCACTGGGCCCTGCAAATCACACAGCCCTTTCAGTCTGTACACAAAACCAAGACAGCCAGACACAAGAGGTGGCTGGTACCCACACAGCAGGGTACCTTCCCAGAGGGGGCCAGACCAGGCCAAAGCTACTGTCATGAGGCATGAATCCCCAGACTTGGGCCAAATAAACCTTACTTTGCACCTCCTGTCTGCCCCTTCCTACGTGCTCCTCAAAGACTGGGATGGGATGCGAAAGACTTGTAAACTGTAGAGCCGTGTCCTGCTTCGCTAAAACCCCAGCTCTCTTCTTAAACTAGTCCACCCATCGTTCGTTCTCTGCCAACATCGCTTTCTTGGCTCTGTAGTACTTTCTGTTCTCTGAGATCCACCTTATTTTCATGCTGGGTGACGGGCCCCCTCCCTTCCCTTAGAATTGTAAATTTGTGCTGTGTCTGCTGTTGGCCTGTCCCTCACTGGATATTTTTAAAGCCATTAAATGTATTGAGGTACCAGTGGTTCGTAGCATCAGCTTCAGGTGTACAATGTTACATTTCCTTACCTGTGGGCTCTATTCCGCACTCACCACCCCAAGTTTACTTTCCTTCCGTTTCTCTTCGCCTCTTGGCTGAGTATTTGTGGGATGGAGGGAGGTTCACCTGTATTGAGTGCTTTACTCTCTGCTGACGGGTTCACCTGCATCTTCTCATTTAATTCTCCTTCCACGTGTCCGGCCTGCGCCTGCAAGGGCATGATAGAGGTAGAGCTCCCAGGTCCTGCCAGAGGAGGAGGCGTTGGAAGTGGCAAGGGCCCACATGGGGAAGAGAGGGTGAGCGCCAGGTGGGATGGGGAGGGTGTGTCCTCCGGGGACCAGGTGTCGCTGGGTGGGGGGTGTCCCCCTGCTCCATCAGGGAGCCCGGAGGATTCCTGAACTCGGGAATGCCACCGTGAAGACAATGACGGAACAAGATTCTTCTTGCCGCAGCTCTGGGTCATGTGGGTGGAAAGGGACTGAGCTTGAGAGGCCTCGTGGGAGGTAGCTGCGCCTTTGAGGCCCAGCCCTGGGAACAGCTTGGGGAGAGGGCGGGGGGTGGGGTGGAAAGGGGACCCTGGGAGGGGGTGAGGGGGCCGGTGCACCGAAAG